GCTGCAGTCCCTCGTTCTCCCCCAGCCGATGAGCCACCAGGCACAGCCCGGGACTTCAGCCCGGCACCACACCCTGCTCCGGCGGCCTTGTGCAACCGGTGTGGTTTCCACATCATCCCCCACCCCCGCTTGAGAGACCGCTGTGCGCTGCTTTACCCGCCATTTCTCCTGTCGTCCTCCCCCGCCGCCTGCCTGAATTATTTCTTCCCCTAATCGGCCATTAAAAGTGCGTGTGGCCCCAGGGACCTGGCTGTTGGGAAGGGTACTGGGAGTGACCCTACAAAGGGCTGCATTTGAAATACAGCATTTAATATACCACCTCTGGCTACTGGCTCTCCCCTAACCTGCTTCTTTCAGGGGAATAGCACTCTAAAACCAAAAATTTTGAGGATTAAGTGTAACTGAGAAATGCTTGAGTGGGTCCCCCTCACCAGTCCTGCACATTAAAGTTCTTACAGTGCAAAGGGAGAATTTGGCACATGGAGAGAGTGCACTACGCTGGGCCACGCTTCAGACTTGGGCAAATGAAGACTGATGTATCTTGGTTAACTTTTCCTAAATATGGGCACTGCTGGCTTCCTGTTCCCCCACCCCCCCAACTTTCCTTACCTGCTCTGCCAATGCTGCCTGGCCTTTCCTGCTCTGAACAAGTTGCTGCCTGTTCAGCACTAACTTTAGAACCACGTTGTGTCTATACTTGCATCCATCTGTAAGGCTGCCCCTGCTGTGGGCTCTTCAGGCAAGGCAGAAGCTGGGAAAGCTTGGTGTTGGCTTCTGCAGGGACCCTGGGGTAAAAAGCGCAGTACTCCCATCATCATTGTCGTGGTATTTCAGTACACCCGTGGCTGTCAGATTAGAACCTGTACAGCCAGGCTGCTATGCAGCTGGTAGCTAAAAAAACTGAGGGTGGCAGAGACCGTAACACCAGACTCTAGACATCTTAATTCAAAACCATGCAGTTTCACTTTAAAACAAATCCATAAAGCTGACTTTGAGGATAACACTGCTTAAGAAGGGCTTGCCTAAGCATTGTACAACTTCAGCTCTGGAAAGGCTTCAGGGCACAGAGTACCAGTTTTTCCGGGCAGTAGAATGGAGATTGCCAGACCACGCTGTGCTTAGCAGTATTAAAATGGCTTCCTTTACCTAAACGTAATATGGATGATCATTTAGAACATTCTACTAATGCTGCTGGAGTGCCACCCAGCTATATCATCAGTGGTTCTCAGGCTGTACTTGAGGAAAAGTTACAGAGTTTTAACGGTGCATTGTCATCATTAATTCAGTTTTTTAATCATTTTGCTGCATACAGGCAGTACTGCCAGATGCTTTAGGCATGTGATTTATATTCCTTTTCATATCAGCCTGGAATAAAGTCCATCTTGCTTGATGCAAATATTCTGGTGTCAGTAAAAGCTGCAAAGCCTGGAGAAATAATATGTTGCTTTCTTTGCAGCAGTACACCATGTCTCTCAAGGATCAGCTCATCCACAATGTCCACAAACAGGAGCATAGTCATGCCCACAATAAGATCAGTGTGGTTGGTGTGGGTGCAGTTGGAATGGCCTGTGCTATCAGCATCCTGATGAAGGTAAGTGTCAAGCTTGGGATGAAGTAGCACAGTTTTGATGACCTGAGGCATAAAAGAGGGGCAAAAAGTAATCTTCCTCATTAGACTAATTGGGCTAGCACACAGGATGAACTTTTGGTTGTCTGTTCTTTTCTTTGGGCCTGAAATGAAGCAGCAATCTTCAAGCTATTGACAGAGAACAAATAGCTGTAGTTCTTGTAAACCAAGTTTATCCTACTATCAGACAGAACATGCTCTATGCATCGTTTTGACTTGAAAGCTGCACTTACTTTTGAATGACTTGCAGAATTCCTTCTAAGAACTGAGGCATCATTTTGTCTGAAGCAGAGTGTCATGGAATACTTCTTTGAGTGTGGACTGGAAAAAGTGGTCCTAGACACTTGGACTTCTCCTCTGCATTGCATTGTTAAATTGAAAATGCTGTATTCAACATCAGGCTTGCTTTTATTAACTGTAAATCAGGTTGTTTATGAACAGCTATTAAATTACTCTTCATCATTGTCATGCTAAGTTGCACAACTATTCCACACAGAATGTGGATGTGAAAAGTACAAAACTAACTCAATAAAGTGGATATCCCAGGAGACTAATTAAAGTACTCTGCCTGGGAACATGTAAAGTGATACAGATGAGCAAAGTTGCTTAAATAGGTAACTGCTTTTAAAAGAGTTGTAACTTCACAGTTTACAAATCGTGTACTTTGCTCAAAGAGGCAATAAACTTACTGTTTAATCTTGGTCTCTTGTAGGACTTGGCTGATGAACTTGCCCTTGTTGATGTTGTGGAGGACAAGCTCAGAGGAGAGATGCTAGATCTCCAGCATGGCAGCCTCTTCCTTAGAACACCAAAGATCGTTTCTGGCAAAGGCAAGTAGTTGGCTCTAATGTGCTTGTTATTTCCAAATGGAGATAGCCACTTTGGATCTCAAACTGGTCATCTAAGCCTAGCACTTAGCCTGTCATCCTAATTGTCAGGAGGAAAGCTCACTTGGTTTCTACTCAGCTGACATTCCATTTTGTACACCTTGTTAAGGCCAGTCTAACTATGAATCCTCTGTTCTGGAGTTCATCGCTCAGTACAGAAAGATGAATTTCTTAAGTACTCCTGCAAGCTTTGAGAATTTTTTTTCACAGCCAGTTAGGCCTGGAACATGTTACTGATTATTTCTTGGCCACACGTCTGACAGCTTTAAGTTTAGTAGCAACCTGACTAGGACAAATGCTAGCCATCTCATACCTTAGTTAATGTGCAGCTCCAGTGTCTGCAGGTAGTAAGTCATGAGGGCAGAGCCTTCTTCCTCATCTACACAGTACTTGCACTGGATGCCATCCTGACCGCCACCCCATACCTGTCTGTGCCTGAGAAGTATGTAATACCACTGCCCAATTCTACATGTTAATATTTTGACATACCCTTAGGATTGCTGCTTGTGGCAACTTTCTATAGAAGCAAAGTCTAGGGTAACAATTACCAGGACAATTTCAGCACCCTCAAACTTGAGAATTTTAGATATCAATACTAAAAAGAACTGAGAACTCTTATTCCAAGCCATGTGTAAAAAGAGGTCATGTTTGACACGGCTTTTTGTCTGCAGATTACAGTGTGACTGCACACTCCAAGCTGGTCATCGTCACTGCTGGTGCCCGTCAGCAAGAAGGGGAGAGCCGCCTTAACTTGGTCCAGCGCAATGTGAATATCTTCAAATTCATCATTCCCAATGTTGTTAAATACAGTCCTGACTGCAACCTGCTTATTGTCTCAAACCCAGGTTTGTCTTGTGTTGCCTTAACAAGAGGATTTGGCTTAGAGAACAGTGGTTTCTTCAGTAAGGTGACATTAGTATACTAATATGACCAGGCATAGGCTTTTAGAAAACTCTTATGCCGCATAACCGCATAGTGAAAAGTGTCGTCTTCCCTCTCTGCACTCAGCAAGCTGGCCATCTCAGACATAAACCAAGTTGCCTCCAACTTTGGTCTTCAGTTGCCTTTTAAGTAACCTTTGGCATAGGACACAGTAAGGGGCACTGAAAATTGCACTTGTAGCATAAACAGCCTCTCAAGTCTGCTCTTAAAACATTCTGTTAGCCCACTGCAGGGCCTGGCAAAGAGCATTACTTCTTTATTCTCTATTCCACATAGCTAGTGTGCAAATAAAATCCTCACAGATGAACAGAAGATACCATCCTAGTTGCAGACTGCTCATGAGTGACACTTGTTATCCTCCCTTTTCTACTTACAGTGGATATTTTGACCTATGTGGCCTGGAAGATCAGTGGCTTTCCTAAACACCGTGTCATTGGTAGTGGCTGCAACCTGGACTCTGCCCGTTTCCGCCTTCTCATGGGAGAAAGACTGGGCATCCATCCTCTGAGCTGCCATGGATGGATTGTTGGAGAGCACGGAGATTCCAGTGGTAAGGGTGAAATCTGGCTGGCTGTTACACAGAACTCTTTCTGATAGTTTGTTTGCAAGAAACATCTCCAAAAGCTACAGAAGAATGTTGCTCAAAAGCCTTTGCACGGCAGCACCTTAAGAATGCAAGTCCTGCTTTAAGTCATCTGCGGCAGAGAGTAACCCTAGATGAGCTATATTTGACCTGAGTTACTCTGCTTGAAAAAGGTCATTACTGTAACTCGATGAGGCTAAAAATTTTTAGGCTAAGTTGTTCCCATGACTCTCCAAAAAAACAAACTGAAGAAGCAAGAGGGTAAAGTTCTCTGCAAGGGACTCCCAAAGATCGGCACTAGACCTAGTGGTAGTCACTCTGTTTGTCTTCACTGGCGTCTCTTGATTACTTCAAAAACTATATATAGGAATTGAAGTGCAGAGGCAAGTCCAGAGGACAGAAGGAGCAGCTTTCTCCTTACTTAATCTGTACTTTCTCTAGCAGCACCAGAGCAGTACTGGCTGCTTCCTGACGCTCAGGAGGACTCATTTGGAATACATTCTTATTTTGAGAAACCTTTGCAAAAGAAAGTTACTGTCATTTTAGTTCATGTTGCTGAGGTGTTTTGCTTTAATAAAGGTATAGTTCAACATTGTGACATGATGTATAAAGAAAGATATTTATATGCTCCTAGGTTCTCAGCCTGCATTTTAGATTGGCCTCATAAGTCATACTGTATTTAACATCCTATCTAAATCATAGTGACTTGTTGCAGATTAATCCAACTAGATCTTATATTAACTGTTAATTGGAGGAGGACAAAATTAAGTGTGTTCTTGTAAGGTAATTAATCTATGTGCAACTCTCAGTACCTGTCTGGAGTGGAGTGAATGTTGCTGGCGTCTCCCTGAAGGCTCTTCATCCAGACTTGGGAACTGATGGAGACAAGGAACACTGGAAGGAGGTTCATAAGCAGGTGGTGGACAGGTAAATACAGATATTTTTTTTTCAACATGACAACAAATGATGAAGAGCTATAGTACCTCTAAACTGCAGTATCCATCTCTGTTTTCATATATACCATAGTAGCCCAAAACCAAATGTCAAGATGCAGACATAATAGAACTTCAAATAACATTTTAAGGTATAATGTAGATTTGGGAGAGTTAATTTTTCATAGTTAGTGAACTTCAAATTAGGGAAGTGCTTTAACTTAGAAGTTTCCAGTATAACTGCTGGGAGTAGCCCTGATCTAGTTAGTGGTGTCCCTGCTCACTGCAGGGGGGTTGGACTACATGACCTCTAAGGGTCCTTTCCAACCCAAAACATTCTATGATTCTATGGAAATGCAAATAGAATTATTCACTGCTGAGTTCATTTCAGTCCTGTCAGCAAATCCGTCAAGTTTCTGATGTCTCCAGATTGATTAAGGCACTTCCAAAAGCCCTTCTTAGAAACTTAGAAAAATTTCAGTTGATGGTACTTGTGTTTTAAGGAGTAATTTTCTCTCTGCAGTGCCTATGAGGTCATCAAACTGAAGGGATACACATCATGGGCTATTGGCCTTTCTGTGGCAGATCTAGCTGAAACTATGATGAAGAATTTGAGAAGAGTGCACCCGATCTCTACAGTTGTTAAGGTGAGCAGCCCTTTTTTTGCTAAGTTTTGTCTTACTGAGAACTCAAAACCTTGGGGATTCTGAAGAACAGTGATAACTTTCTAGTTTAAGTTCAACTAAGTTTAGTTGGGTTTTCCTGATAGGGTATTTTATAAAATACATAGACATACATGAATTCTAGCCTAATTATCTTTACCAACTTTTCAGGGCATGTATGGAATAAAAGAAGATGTCTTCCTAAGTGTTCCTTGTGTACTGGGCAATAGTGGCATCACTGATGTAGTGAAGATGATCCTAAAACCCGAGGAAGAGGACAAATTAAGGAAGAGTGCAGACACACTCTGGGGAATCCAGAAGGAACTACAGTTTTAAATCTGCCTAAGCAGTTCACTCTTTGCAGTTTAACGGGTTTAGTGGTTTGTCTTACGTTGCACTTTCTAAAGTAGGTCAAATCTTTCAATGTACGTATCTCAACTAGAACATGCAGCAAGCTCAAATCTGAACAAATGAGCTTCCTGAAGATAGCATTAGGCAACTATTCTAGGGCTTTCCCTGTTCAGACACCCATGTTCTTAGCCACAGCTAGATAACCTAGTCAGTCTTGTACAGTGAAGTGGTGTGGCAGAAATCCAGCATTCAAAGCAGCACTGCCTAGAAAACCCTTTGCCTTTTCCTCCTCTTGTTTAACGTTGGTTCAGAACAATAAGTAACTAATGATTACACAATGTGAAACCAAAGACTATTTTCTTGCAGTTAAAGGATTGTCAAGCCAATTGACCAACCTTCTCTGCCAGCTGAATAGCTTAAATATTTCACTGTTGGTAGGTCCAAATATATTTTCCTAACACTGCTTTGGAATTTTTGTGTGTACTTTTTTTTAGATAAATTTGTGTACCGTATCAGCCTTGTTGTAAGTTTGTCTCCTGAGCATGTTTAAAAAATGTTAAGGTTTCTGTATGCAACAAGACAGTGACTGTCCAACTGTAGTACCAGCTCCAATACCAAATAAACCACAAACTGTTATTTCTGTCTCCTTGTTTTTCTTTATAGGGATTTGTCTCCAAAGTGCAGCTCTACTTGTACCCATTTAAGTCAAACAATTCTATTTCTTCAGTCAAGCTAACTCAAACCTCACCTGTGTGATAAGGCTGTGTGCAGCTGCTCTGTTGTAGGCTCCAGATATTTATGCAGTGAACTTTCTAACAGTCTCAATGTAGGCATGAAAAAACACTAAGAGCAGTATTTAAATACTCAGAAGTTAAACCGGGCTCTCCTGACATCACGTTAGGGGAGTAGAGAAACAATGCAACAGAGGAATTGATTCCCATCTTAATGCAAAGAACCGGGCTCTCCTGACATCATGTTAGGGGAGTAGAGAAACAATGCAACAGAGGAAGTTCTTCCTTACCTGGACAAACAAAAACACATGTAGGAATAAATGTCTCCGCATCAAGTACTTGACACCCATAAAAAGTGAACTTGCTGCCAAGCACAGAGAAGCATCTCCTCTGGAATAGTAACTGTGCATAGAAACAATGACCAAAGTTACTCCTAAAGCCCATAGTAAGTTAGATAAGGAAGAGTTAACCATCTTCTCTGTCATTAATACTTGAAAATGTAATATACCTCATTACAATTAAGAAGGAAAGGCCTTATTCGGAGCTTTTTCTAACAGTAGGACACAGCATGTAGCTTAAGAATGGAAAGCAATCACCTGATTAGTCCAGGGTAGATGTTTATTGTGGACTGCAGCTGGTGATACTTCTGACACCAGAGTATTTGAGTAGGCTGAACAGTGCTCATGAAGGAACTTCAGTAACAAAGGAATAGCTATAGCTACTGTACCGCTTTCTCTTACATCAATGTGACCAAAATGGCACCTGTAAAGAGAGCACATAGCAATACTGGTTTATGCAGATGACGGGGAGCTGCTGTGAAGCCATTTTCAAAGCTTTCAGAAGATCCACAGGACTTAAAATTTTTACTACATGAAATCTCACCTAGATTTTCAATATGAACTCCAGTCTCTTCAGATCCAATGGTAACCTGAAAAGCCTTAGAACACTCTTGTTTTCAGCCTCGCAGAACTCTGGTTCTCAAGCTAGCTTTGCTGAGGCAGCCTACCAAAGCAACTGGAGGAGGGCAGCTGCATGCTGCTGAGAGGCGACCAGAGCAGCACCATGAATCCCTACAGCGCTCCAAGTTGGGAGACGCTCTGCACAACGTACCCTCTTGCAGACAGCACAGTGTTTAGCCACCAGGCTTGTCGATACGAGGTCTGTCCCAGCTAACGCAGCCAGAACCTGTGCCTCCTGTGGCATTCTGGTGTGTAGTGTTTTCTGCCTGGCAGGTAGTGCAACACCAAATGTAGCAGCCTTTCTTTTTCCTAGCATTTTTCTAGTGGAAAAATGCAATACGCATCGTAAGGTGCCCTCCGCTATGACCACGACTGGGTGATGCAATAGGCGAGTCAATGTAACAATTATTAAGCTCACTTCAAGAAAACAATCCTTGGATGTCAACAGTTGGGTCAAACAGCAGGGCCTTGAAACTTTGGGTTTCCAGCTTTCATTGGTCGTAACAAAGGTTAGTTATGCTGAAATATGAATTTTTCCAGTTCGGGACACTGAAATGCCTTCCAGATCTCTGAATTAAAGGGGACATATGATTAAGCTGACACTGCGTGAGCCAGCCCTGTTTGCAAAGAAAGCGCATCGTACACAGTTCTGTAGAGGAAGAAAGTATGCAACAAGTTTTATTCAGCCTAAGTCCACCAGCACAAAGATTACAGGAGATAGAAAGTGCATTAATAAAAGCTAGTCTTTACCAAAAAGAAAATATATTATTGATTCAAAATATCTTACACTTGAATGATGTAATAATTTATTCTGGGCACCTACTGATTAAGAGAAATATCAACAGAATGGCTGCTTCTTAAGGAAATCTAACTTCCCAGTTAAAGTCTGAGAATTCAGTAGAGATCACTGAGTCCAGCAGTCTTCCTTGCTTTCTGCATTAATGCCCTCAGCTGGAACTGCTTGCGAGACAGAAGACGTACATGCTGCAGAAAGAAAGAAGAACAGCTGGCTATTGGGAAAGTTTTGATATAATCTTAATTCTATTGCAATACAAATTTTCAATTTTCAAAGCATGACACATTCCATGACCCAAACAGGATGCTAGTTTCTTGGAAACACTAAATACATTAGTCTACTAAATGGCATTTTCTTAGCTTAAAATGACTTGCAGATGGCTACCAAATGCAATCACTATAGCATATTTTTTGTGATAATAATTATTAACTCTGCACATATTCTTACCAAAGAGAGAAGTAGTAATATGCACTGCAAGGTGAAGTCAGACTAATGCACTTCCCATGGGGCAGAGAATGGTTCTTTTAACAGCAGATAAACAGAACCAGCCAGCTACATAAAAAGGAAATAATGTGTCTACATAGTGCGTTGTACGCTGTACTCTGCTTAAGCAAAGCTCAAGTGGTTTAACCTGGGGGGAACCTCAACTGTTAGAAAAAGGAAGGACTGGTAACTCTGGTTACACAGTGGCCCCAGTACAGACTATTAACGCTTCTGCACATGAATCTTTCCAGATCCAATGGCAGCATTAATTATTCTGACCTATAGATTTTGTGTAGATTTATTCCATGTTAAAAAGTGGCTTTAATCTTTTCAAAATAACAACAGATCAATTTTTCTTTTCACGTGCCATCAGCATGCACATAAGTTCAAAATAAAGGAAGGTTATTAGATCCGACATTAGGAAAACTTTCAGCACTAAGGACAGCAATGAAAGGAAACAAATTGTTTAAGAAGGTCTCTGCTGGAGACACAAAACTAGCTGGCTTTTTCCCCCCCTATGATTTTAACACTCCACTGGCTGGCCCCGCAGAGGCATCCATAGACTGCAAGTGAAAACCTGTCCAAATACTCTAATCACCCTTCAAGTTAGTTTCTCCGGAATTAGGATGCATGCCCAATGGAAAGCTTCTGTTGACATTACTGCACCTGTCTAAATGATGCATGATAAATGACTTAATATCTATAATGCTTTAAAAATTGGTCTTTTATCTTAATTCTGAAATTCCTCTTTTAGAACTTATGTTTCAACATATAATATTAATGTTCTTACAGGATCCTCTTCAGTGAAGAAACCACTAACATTAATAGATGAACAGAAGAGTTCACAGTATTTAAACACATTTAAAATGCACATTTTAAAAACATCCCAAGAAACTTACCTTTAAAAAGACATCTAGGTCTATCACTCCACGTCTCAATGCTTCCCCAAGATAGAAGATGGTGTCTTCAATTGCATTTTCCTCTGCATATAAGTTCAGGATCTGCTTGTAAAGCGGTGCCGTAGGAATAATAACTTCATCTATGTCATTATTTTCTGACTGATTTTCCATTTTCTCTAAGGCAGAACTGAGCTCCTCATCCTTCTTCTTGAGAAGTTCAATATTCTTGTCAACTTCAGCCTAAAAACAATGAAGATGTTTGTTTATTTATTAGGTCTCAAGAGCTGACTGTCTTGTGATACAACTGTCAAGATGGAAGATTTTTAGACATGCCAGTTGATTCTTTACTTCTCTACTCATCTCTGTTATGATTTTTAGAAAAGAAAAAGCTATCAATCTATACATCTTGGGTTCTTTCATTGTAAAAAGGTAAAGGCTCTTTTAGATAATGTCAATCCCTTATCAATTTGTAACTGTAGAGAAGGCATGCTAACAGTCTTTAAGTATTCTGAAGGTGCCACATAAAGAAAAATAACCATTTAAACTAGCTAAAGATAATAAAAGCAAAGCCAAAATAATTATTTTCTTTGGCAACGTGTCTTTTGGAGTAAGTTCCTATACAAGTTTGCTGAGCATGGATCACACAAACACTTAACTGTATTGATAGGAAACAAAGCATGCTGGCTTTACCCACTAACGGTAACTATGATTTAACTGCATCTGTACGAGAAATACCTCCTTTTGCTACTCTTGAATTTGCCTCCTGATATTTTTGATGTCCCCCAGCTGACACACTGGAAGAGACTGTACACCACTGTGTTTTTCCTCATATTACTCAAAGCCGTACAGACCATTACAATATTCCACTCTCTCTGTTCCCACTGTCTTTTTTCCAGGCTGAAGTCCTAGCTTACTTAGTCATGTCTTATATGGAAGCTCTCTGGTATGCTGGATCATAGAATCACAGAATGTTTTGGGTTGGAAGGGACCCCTAGAGGTCATCTAGTTCAACCCCCCTGCAGGGAGCAGGGATGCCACTAACCAGATCAGGTTGCTCAGAGCCCCGTCCAACCTGGTCTTGAATGTTCCCAGGGATGGGGCCTCCACCACCTCTCTGGGCAACCCATAATCATCATCCTTCTTGCCTTTGCATCAAACATCTGCAGTTCTATTATGTCCTTTTCTTCCATGACAGCAAAGACTAAAAGTACACGCTAAGTTTAAAGTGGGCACATCTTACTCCCGAGCAGTAATGCAAGGAGCAGATGGACCAAGCAGAAGATGTCAGGCCTTTGTGAAAAAACGCAGAAATTTCTGAGCATATTGAGTAAGAGAGACTCTTGTCTGGGAAAGGAAAAGTCTGTAGGTTATACAAGGCAGCTGTGACTAAAATCAGTGTCTCTGCACTAAGACACTGAAATGTTCTTCAGTGCTGCTGTTGCACATTATTATCCAGAAACTGAGACGCAATTATGAAATAATCTCACACCACTGACAACTTTCACAGGGAGGATGGAGAAAAATAGCACTGTTCCTCTACTACTGAAAAATGACATTTGTAAGATACACGCAGGACGATGCATCTTATGGTCAGTGCTATTTCTGACTAAACACATGCACCTCAATTTGGAAAGAGAATATACATTTAAAAAGCAACATGCTGGAAGCTTTGATGTTTTTATCATGCTTAATAATAAATTAATTGCATGCTTCTGTTTACTACTAGGAATACTCAGATACAGAGCAGTGTTTCATCCCTGCTTACCACTTCTTGATCCAGGCGAGTTACCATCTCTTCCAGTTTCTGGTGTCCTTTCTTCAGGTCCTCTTCTGTCCGTTTCAAGGCATTGAGTTCAGCTTGTGCACGATCCATTTCTTCTTTCATCCGCCATCTCAGTTTATCACTGACTGCCGAAATAAGGGAAGCTCGAATAGTGTCCTCACTGATAGTTCCATCTCTACTGGGTCCTGCACAAGAAAATTCACAAGAACAAAATTAACTCTGTTCTGCACTGTCTTCAGTATAAAGCCAGTCTGGAAAAAAAAGTGGCTAACTTGCTGTATGTACTTTAGCAATATGAGACAGCAAAATAAACTGTTTTCCACAATAATTTTCAGAAGCAGTGAAGAGACCACAGTGAGATAAAACATATTAAGAAGTACACAAGTAAATTTAAGACATCAATTCACTTTACTATTCCCATATCCACAATATTCCTTTAATTTAAAAACAGGCTGGCCTTTTCCCCTGAAATCTACAGATGTTAGTCCGAAGTCTTTAAAAGAAGAATAAATTTCTGGTAAACTCTGCAGGAATTAATGGATACATGTATTCAACCACAATTAATGTAACGGCTGGCTTGAGACAGTGGATTTGCCTATAGGTGCCCTATCTTGAGGCTTGCCAATTACTGGTTTTTTGTTCATTTGGTTTTTGTTTTGATTTTTTTTTTTAAGATGAATAAAATAGATGAACACTAAGCTAACAAAAATAATTTCAATGAAGAAGATCTTAACTGCTGCCCTTTTATATTTATGAAGATCTAATAGCAGGGTCTGTTTAAGTGACAAATTATTGGACAGTATCAAGTGATTAAAAAGCGACAATATGATCTAGTCCTTCCAACTGATTTCACTATTATGATTCAGCCATCCTGGGGCACCTATGGGAGGGCAGTGAAACAATCAGCATTAATACAGAACATTTGTTATTGAGGTAATCCTACTTCCACAAGCAACATTTATTAAAAGATTATAAAGCAGAGAGAGAAATGCTAATCAATCGTATCAGCATATGGTTTATATATATCTTCTAGCAGACTAAAATCAGATGGCAGTCTTTTAGGCACATGTTCAGTGTTACACTGGGCCTACCATTTCTTTTTTTAAACTTCTGCAAGATGGTACTGGAAATGGAGCGGGAGGGGGGGAGCGTGCTTTATAAAATTAGGTAATGGCACCCATGAAGAACCTGTAAAAATTCTCTCTGGATAAAATGCTTCTTTAATGTTAGTTGAATAAGGAGTATTAGTCAAGCATACAGAGATTCTGTGGAGTTAGTTATACAATTTGATTCTAGCAAAAGCATGCATACCTATTTTAGGTAAGCATAAGACAAAGATGATGACATACAATTTGATTGCAGATATACTAATTTGCCAGTTTCACTTGGTCCATCGTGCCCAGAAGCTCAGGGTAGTGATTTTAGTAGCAGTGAAACAAACTACTCACCAATATTGTTCTAGTGTTATATAACTAGCTTCTATAAATGATTGATGTTACAGTGAAGCAGCAGAGGCTGCTATGTAACAGAGTTACAACAACTGAGGTTACTACCTTTTTGACAGTTTTTATTGCTAGGTACAACTTGTAATTTCAGTTTATTAAACCACATTTTGATGCAGCAATACTAGAAAACAAACCAGAAGAAAATAAATTCTCTACTATAATTCATTAGTCACTCTCCCGCTGAAGCACTAGAGGCTTTCGCATTCAAGCCTGACTGTTACTATTGCTTTTGCAAATCAGCCTTTCAATGAGATTACCTAACTTCCAGAGTATGTCACTAACACCTTTTTAAATAGAAAGGTAAATCCTTTGTGTCTGTCATAGGAAGCGTTGTGTATCTGCAGACTGGGAAACTCTGATTGCTCTAGAGAATGTGAAGTGGTTACTGGTTGCAGAACTGGATCTGTATTTATCATAAACCACTTCAACCATTCTTCTATGAGAAAAACTGGAGTGTCACAGTTTCCCCATGCTTGTGCCTCACACCTTTCAGATCAGCAAAATTTCAATTTCATTGTAACAACTCCTAATAAAGCAAGGATTATAGCAGGTTTTGTGCCTAAACTTTCCAACTTGCATGGATGAAATGTAGAGAGATTTGAAGTTCTGTAACTGGAAAGAAAACTTGCAAAAAGAAATGTTACCAGAGTATCTTTTTATCCAGAGACAGAGTTATCAAAGACCTGAAGTTGTTATGGCATTAGGTACATCATATTTCCCAGTACCCAAGATCTCAAAAAGCCCACAAAGTAAAAAAATACCCATCAAGGCTCCCGCGAATCTTACATAGGTGAAGGCAAAACCATTAGCGTATCTTTTGTTTCTCCTTCCCAAAGGTTCAGAAAAGTGCCTCAAGTCCCCTGAAATCCAATCAACCTCTTCACCTTTCCTAATAATCACAGGCCCTCAGAAACAGCAAAAGCAAACAATGACTCAAGCCATACATTAATTTTGCCATTTAAACACAGTAGTTCAAAGATTGGTATTTTTAGAGGGGTAGGTTTGATATCTTCTTGATAATCAGCAACAATCCAGAACACAGTTTAAAAATCTAAACTCTGCCTGCAGAAACAAGCGTCTGAATGGAAAAATTAACAATTTTCTGTTAGGGTCTCATAATAATTAAAAAAAAATTTAAAAAAAATCTATTTGGAGCATCTGTTGGTATTGTTATACTAACAAATGTAAACTGTGCAAGACTGCACACCTCAGAATCCTTAAAACACCCAGAGGATTTTTTGGACTTCTGCTGCTAACAGAACAAGACTGCATAAATTCCTATCTCTTCCCTGTGCCTTTTACTCTACTCCTGTCCACAAAACCTACACCAAGCCAGAGATCTAGAAAAACAAAGCTATGCAAATGACATGAGAGGAACTATGGGAAGATGCACATCATGCTTGCTAATCCACCAAATTCTTCTAAAATTAAGAAAACATCAGATTTTGATAATTACTAATGTGAGCACCTTACCTACATATAAATTGCACCAGAATATGTGTAATTTTTTAAAAATAAGCTAATTACTGTTGGAAAAGAGAGATGAATTATTAATCAACTGCTGCAAAGACAGCCTTATGAAAATATAGATGTCCCAACACTTGATTTGACTTACAGTTCTGGCTTAAGCAATTCACCCTGTTGCCAGTCAACAAGATAATTTTCAATATTTGGTTAACTATCAGAATCAGCAACAGAGGCTGGCACATGGCACCATACACACAAACCCAGGAATTCATCATCGCTGCCTCTTAAGAAAAGGAGAAAAGAACAGTACTTTCTACACTGAGAAGTAAAATTTAAACCCAGTCAGTCAAAACTGTCTGGGACAAAGCATTTATTCACTGTTTAGGACTTCCTGTTTAAGGCAGACAATTGTAAACATCCATGTTCCAAATCAAAACAAAAAGGTCCAATTTCACTTCAAGAATAGCATTAGCATGATTTCAGTTACTATTTACTTTACATAATTAATTATTCTCTAGCACAAAGTCAGAACCAGTCATCAGTTCTACTTTTCTTTCCCCCTCATATTCCTCACTCTAGGATAGTTTATACAAGGCTCACTTTAACAGTAAAGGAGGACAGAGGAAAAAAAAAAAAATCACAATACACCTAACACAATTAGAGTTCACGTAGAGGTTGCAACAGATAGCAAAGAGGTTTTTGATCATCTGAAGGATCACTTTAATACAACTCAATTAGTTTTTATGCATCTTCTTAAAGAGCATGAACCTTTAGCATTTTCTGTCACTTCCATAATTAGCCCAGCTTGGGGAAGACTTTATGGCACGTAGCCATTAAATCCTCAAGAGCACTGAAACCCTTAACCTTTACCAGGCAGAGTCTGGTTTCAGAAGTGACCTTACAGAATCATCAAACTAGTAACTGCATCAGAAAGGTAATGAATGGCAGATGATTGAACATACAGAAAAAGCCTGAAGGAGTATTTGAAAAACCAGCTATTATTAAAAACTTAAGCTACTCTAAATGAGTATTTTCATTCAATTCAAAACTAAGCTTACTGTAGGAAACACCACCACCACCCCCACAAAACTCTAAGTTGTAGCACCTGATATGCTCCTAAATAAACTATCACAATAAACCATAGCCAAACAATCTGTACAGGAAATAAACATCTACAGTTGAAAGAAAAAAAAAATACTGTACTGTAAAAAAAACAGTACTGTAAATACAGTGGATGATTTAAGAGACGTATTTGTATTTCATTTGGTACAAGAGATAAACCATGTGTAACAGGTGTATGACTTTTACCTATCTGCATCAAACGAATCAGTCTAATGGTAAATTGCCACTACAAAATCTGGCATTACAACATGGTATCAGATGATCTAACTCAGGACTTGAAGAGCCTGTATGATATTTGGCAGATATTCCACCTCTGTTCATCTTCACTGGGGATGAAAATGGGAGAAAGAAATTAAATAGGACATATCTGTTTTTTAAATTAACTCTCTACTACATTAAAGCAAAACTGGATCTGTTTGAGAAAGACGCTGCAGAAAGCCGATGTTCCCTAGAAAAGTCCTTCACGCAATCCAGTGGAGACCATCAATTCTCAAGGACCCACCTACAGCCTCCCAACACTGAGTACTGTCTGAGCTACGTAAGTGGGACAGCGGCTTTCTTGCAGTGTGCGGGGTAGATACATGTCACCTCAGAGCAGAAATGACCACTGTAATGGCCAACAACTTTCAGAAAAGACTTTTTTAATTCAGAAGGCTGAAAGAACATGGACACAAAGGATGGGATCAAGCACAAGGAGAATGCAACTTACTGTTTTTTCAAAGTTCTGTAACAACAGAACAACTCCTCAAATATTTCAAGAGTAAAGTAAAAGCATCTATCTTCTTTAGCCAAGCTGTGAACTTGCTTTGTCCCTATCTATCTGAATGAAGATTTCAAAATACACACAGTTCTGGAGGGAAAAGTGTGTATAAATAACTGGGAGTCCACACAGTAAATAAAGAACCTCTGGATGCACTTTTAAGTTATACTGCACGAGACTACACGATTGCTACTCTGAACAAGGTCACAAAAGAGTCTATGTCCTTACCATATAACTGCTCCAAAAGGACTATCATCTAATTGGAAAGCTACTGCATCAACTTTCTACTTAACTAGAATACCTTTATCACTGGTTCTCAATCTGTTTACACATACAGTAAAAATGAGGTGCAGAGTGGAAAGCAAGCTGGTGTATTTTGCCAGCACAGGGCCACGGAGGAGCAGACTGGGAAAAGACACACATTAATACCCTAGATCTTGCTGCTGAAGGGAAGAAAGAAGGAAATAACAAGTAAGGACCATTAAGAAGCAACAGCAAAGAGGCTGGAGAAGAAACTCAGTAAAAATGAAGCTCATTCCAAACACATTGGAAACTTCTGCTTTAGATAGCTATGACTTCTGGAGTAAAGAAAGTATAAATAAAGAGTAAATAAAGTGAGTCCAGTAGATGATTAAATGAGGACAAAGGCATTTTTGTAGACCACGACCAGAGCAATGCAGACAATAAAAAAATCACCTACAGCTAAAGGGAGGAAAAAAAAAAACCAACTTAAGGTAGTTACACACAGTGTTCTTCAAAATACTCATAGAGCACACACAATGCATTGTACAAACCCAGGAATTTATCAAGTTCCAGACTGAATAAAATATAAGGCAAAGGACATAAAATGTATTTTATTCTTCCTTTGAATAAGTTTTTTAAGTGAAGATCAATACTTTGGAAGGTCAGATCAAGAACAATACATTCCTTTTTCCATTTTTTTTACACATCAGTTATAGAGTGAAGCTTCACTTCAGAGGAATTTTTTCAAAGCTACTCACCAACAGTAGTCACAGGAGGCTGGGAAGGGTAGTATGGAACACTAGTGGTTGCTGGGAATGGAACACCACCCGGATAAGGATAGTTCGGGTAGCTGCTTTGACAAAGAAAGAGATACTAATGTTATGTAACTATTTGTAAAATATCATCCATGTATATTATCTTTATGTGACCATGGTAAACATTTGTTTACATAATAAAATGTTTAAATTGCAGGCCAAGTTATACTTTTTCTCTTTTCATGTTCACATTAATATCTTCCACAATTTATATTTCTGCTATGATTTAAGAAGATACTGTTTTACCTGAAACCCTATCTAGTTATTGCCTGGTCAAGCATTTGGATCATTCCAAATTCTCTTCACTCTCACCATACAATTTCAAACTTGCCATACAAAACCCCAAAAGATTCCAAAAGAAATCATTCTAGCTACAAACTCACAAGCAGCAATTTCAACTTAATAATTTTTAATACCAGAATGGTTAACAAGATGATCGCTCAACCACTTTATGTGAACTCAAAAATGTGCAAAATATGGTTGCAAGATGAAACTCCTCCAGAAATTCTCAGCCCTGCTCTGAAGGATGAGGGAAAGCAAAAGTATTCATTTGTTCACCGAAACAATTGCAAGATGACATGTAACACGACAGTCTACAATACCTTTCTAAATTACATTTACTATCAACTGAAACAAGGGCTCAAATTAGTCAGTACTAGACTGGCAAACACCTGCATACTACAGAGTATTAACCATGGCTATAAGTAAACTAAATGGTCCAAGAAAACATGTGAAATATAAAATAAGCATACACTGTGCCTCTCCAGATAACTGCAAATTTAATAGCTGTTAAAACCTTTCTGTTCATTTATAAATTATATTATTTGAAAAATAGTTCTTCAATTATTCATTTTTGTACAAACATTAAAAGCACTTTAAATAAACGTGTTTAGAGGTGGGAAACTTATCAAACCCCCCATTTTTCACTTCTTAAAACATAACACCCCACCTTCCTAATGCTTCTAGGGTTTAATTTTTTCAAATTTTTGTTTTAAATCAAAATGTTATATACTACAGCAGTTCCTCATATGCTCCTCAGACAAAATCAGGACATAAGGATATTAATAATAAAAAGAACTAATTGAGTTGTGAAAACATGTAGGTGCACACTAGGAGGCAGCAATCAGTATTTTACTACTTGCAGAACTGCAAGTCTTCTGGAAAAGCTTTATTCCAAACTATTATACAGTATACTTAAAGAAAAAGTCTTATTTTATATTAATAAAAAAAGGTCACAAATAATTTTTTGCCCTTCAAATTCTCTTAGAGTGCTCTGAACTAAGTCCACATTTATGCTGGAGTCAAGTTTTGTATTAATCCAGCAATTGTTTTGTTCAGTGTTTTGAGTTGCTGATTACCCCAAACAATACTAACGATGCTAATAACAAACCCCAGCTTGTAAGAGTACATTTCTCTCTGTATCAAGGAAACATATCAACCTTACAAAAGCTAATCAGATATACAAGTGAAGCAAGATAACATTTGGGAGTTAGGTAATGATTTTCAAAATATATTTATCACCCAAGTATATTGTATTTGAAGGCAGCAACACTAAAGAAGCGAAACCTTTCTCAAACTTTCTTTTGGCTATTGACAAGAATTCAGCCCTCGCTTTTAAAAAAACCTGCTAATATGATAATTACACAACAAACATACCATAAGAAAATACAACTAAGACTAGATACTATTCAGTGAAACTGTTTATTATGTAAATTATGATGGTTTAAAGGGAGTCTCACCTCGGGTTTGGAGTGCTTCCTGCTGGATAGGGAGGTATTCCACCCGTAATGCCCGGCACATAGGAAGCTAAATAAAATAATTATTTTGTATATTTTTACTTTTCAGAATTTAATATATATAAAGATCACACCAGTGAGATGTACTTACGTTGCACTTAGATGCTTTTCAAAATATTACTGAACAATAAATACAGTATCACACAATGAAACAACAAGAGTCATTCTCTGGCCAAAAGCGAATGACAAAAGTCATTCTCTGGCCAAAAGCCCTCAGTGACGTGCACCCTGCATCCTCTAACACCATCACTTCTCACAACGTTTCCCATGGCGCTCTTGTGCAGCTTGGCAAGAGGGATACATGCAGATGTTTGTTGTGAGCTGTCTCTGTGCCAGCTGACCAAGGCAGCTGCTTCCCCTCAAAACACGTAAAGGACTAAACTGCAGCGAACCTTCCCTCCATGTGTTGACCAGTTAGAATTTCCTTTCTGTATCCAAACTCATTCTCACAAAACACAGGCAAATTTTGCATTTCTGAAGATTCTACCTCTACCTATGAACTTTGGTTAAAATATTTTCAAGAGTATTTTGTTTGGAGGGAGAGTATGAGAACTGTAATTGAAGTCAATTACACATTCCTTAGAACAACTGGCTAGAACACCTTTCACTGCATATTAATCTTTTTTTCTTAATTGTTACTTTAAATTAACCACTGCATGGATAAAAATGGGTATCAATTTAAAAATCCACAACGAATAGTTGTACTAAGTAAAATGTGGATACATAAGAAAAAGTATCTGCACCTAGGGAACTCAAAAAATGGCATGTTATTAAAGATGACACACCCGAAGAGCTGTCTCCATTTTTTATATAATAACTGAAAAAAGAAAATAACCTCCCCAATGTAGCCCTTGTTCCCTGCTCACTAAATAATGAGTGTATCATTTAAGTACCTTCAGGATAGCTAGACTTAAAACAGTTGATTAGCTGCTTAACAATCCAATCACATTCTTATCCAGTGATTTCTGCCATTTACAAGTTATACTTTAAAAAATGTTTATCGGCAGATACAAATGTCTAAGGCTTTAACAGTCCTAGCAATTTAACGTTTCTTCTTGGAAATCTGACAATTCTATTATAAAATTATGTCTTGAATATATTTATTCCACATTTCTAGTAATTTTAGGAATATTGCATCAGATAGCTTTTTTTTTTTTAAGAGACAAGCTATTTTCATCCTTGAAATGCTTTCAAATTATTCAATTTTTTAAGAAGGGCTTAATTTCTTCTTAAACAGTGTATCTAGAACTGAAAAAACCCCAGACCTAAATGTCTGTAAAATATGGAAAAACTGACTACACTCGCAAAACTAAGCCGCTATTAACATGTAAAAATCCAGAAACATCTCTGCTAAAATGACTTCAGCTATGCTAGCACTGAGTGACTACAAGAGTAATCAAGTGTGTTTCAATTGATGGTCTTTCCTTAAAGCACAATACAGGTCACAGTCTCTACTAAAACTATACTTGTACTGACACCCGCTGTTCTTGGAAAATCAGAACAGTAGAATCATCTAATGCTCCTGGACAAGCTAAAAAGTCCCATACACTTACCTTTATCTAACTATCTCTAATGGTCCCATTTATGTTTGCTACTCATTTTCTCACGTGTTAAGAACCTAAGACCTTGCTAAAAATGGTTTCCACTGGAAATTGTAATGAATAGTACTTCAGCTTTCCAGATGCAACACTATGATCTGATGAAAGCTGTATTTCAATAGGAAACAGACACAGCCCTAAAAATACAGCAAAAATATATAACCCCAAATACAGCTACTCTACCATTAATGTAGAACTGTTATAGTATCATTAAACAACCTCCAGCTAATCTGCTTCCCCTCCCCTCCTGCCCCAGTGTTTGGCTTGAATAGGTCTACTGTAGTCGGGGGTTTTTTTTCCACCCAGTGCAGAGTCTTCTTTTGCAAGGATTTCTAGGATTTTGTGTTTCCCACTTCCCCTTTTTTCCCCCCACCCACCCAGCCCCAGTCTTTAAAATGTCTCCCAAAGTTTAAATAAATAAGGCTTTAAAAAGCCTTGAGAATTTTTGCAAGAAAATGAGTACAGAGTCACAGTACCAAATCAACATAGAAGAATGAAACATAACAATGTGGGTTTTGTTTTTTTTTTCATATTCAGCCAGCAATTATTAAACAAACAAACAAACCAAACCCACACAGAAGTGTGGGAATAAAAGCCACACGCAGTATGTTTTTCCTTTTGAAATCAATGGTTGCAGGAAACTTAACAGATGGACTTAATATTATCAGAATAAAAAAAATGAAAATACAAAGACAGTTGTCTGAATAATCTCTTTTTAAGGTTATCTCTGAATGTTGACAAGTTACTGGTTGTTTTGAGGGGCTTGGTGGGGGGGTGTGTCATTCTAGAGCAGAATACATCCTTTGATGTCAACCTATGCAGACCAACAATACACCCTGGAATATTAATGTGAGTATTTGTAGAAATCAGTAGCCATGACCACTTACTAGTTGGTGGGCCTGTTGCCTGGTATGGTGGGTAGCTTGATGAAGCCGTAGGCCGAGAAAAGACCGGAGGTTCCTCACCAAACACAACAATCATGACCTGAATTAGTTCTAGTAAGTCTGACTGGGGCTGTGAGGGTAAGCAAATCACAAGTTGTTCATTTCGTTAACAGACAGTTTAACTGACTGTAATAACAAAACAGTACCAATGCATCAGCTCTCAAAAGCCAGCCTGTTTTGTATTTTAAAATATTTTTATATATATATATATATATATATACACGTGTGTGTGTATTTAACTTCCTTTATGAATTTCTTTACAGATTCCAAACCCAGCCAGACAGTATGCAAAACAGTATAGCAAAATACAGCTGCAGTAGTGTTTACACTCAGAGTAAACTGGGTAATATATGGTTCCACATCAACTGCAGGGCAATAAATGACTGAAGATGAGTGCAATGATGGATTATAATAATTTTTTAAAACTTAAATCCACTCTCCAACATGAACAAAGTACAGATCACTAAGTTTTCAGACGTTTCAGTTTCATACAGCATATCGCTGTAAACCACATAAACATACATAGCGTTTGCTCAGGTTCAGAATAGCTCTAGAAAAAAATATTCTAACCCAATGTGGGTTAGTGGCACAAACCTTCTTTAAATATACCTAAACTAGGCTTCTCAGTTTATAACTACATTTAATATAGGCATTTCATTCTGCCAAAATAAGGACAAGCACCATGAATGCAGAACCAGATTAAATATCCTATTTCCAAATTTTCTAAACTCTACAATCCACTTACTTATTTTTACCAACCTCGCAAACTGAACGAATTCTGTATCATCTGTATCTTAGATGATCTTCCTGCTGTGCAAGACCTACATCCTGATCTGGGCAGTCATTTTCCACTATTATCATTCAACTGCTGAATGACCACCCATGCTTTAATAAATTTATTCCTGTTAATCACTTGGAACAGAACTATGCATCTTGTACCACTCTTCTGACCTTGTAAGTACAGTTTATATTCTTTACAAGACCATGCTTTGGTCAAAACTTTTATGAGGCCTGCACTGCTCAATGCCTGTATTTATTGGTAAAGCAAATATATCCATATACTTGAAGCTGCAGCAATGTCTATGTAAAGAAGTCCAAGTGCGCATACAAGTCCATTTTAGTCAGAGGGATCAATTTTAGCCCAGAGATGTTTCACAAAATTTATAATTTCCCTTCTGTAAATATTCTTATCTCACAGATCTTCACATCAGTGTCCTGCCAGGGAAGGATGCCTATGCTGCACTGTTTAATCAGACAAACTGTAACTAAAGATGCAATTAACCAGGCAACAGAATGCAATACCCTGAACTTTAAGACATTACAAATAATAAGCAGCTTTTTTCATTAAAAAATGGTGTAAGATCTCAAATAAATAGGATTATGGTTTTTGTTAAAAGTGATGCAATTATCTAAAGGAATTCAGAACTAAGCAATTCGAGGATTTCAAGTTCCATTTACTTACATATTTCCATTCATGCAGGTAAGGAAGGTATATCTTTCCATTTGCATCAACATGCTTCCCAGTTTTTATTGTCATAGAGCTAGTGGGTTTAACAAAACAAATTGGGGGGTTGAAAGGGTAGGTGTCCAGCAGCCACAAGCAAATTGGGATATTGTATGTGTTACCTAGAACAGATATTTTGAGAGATTTTAAAAGTTACTCCAACTCTCTAACTGTCCTCTTGTACCCAGATTTATAAAAAAACCCCTAAACCCAGTAAATTCAACCACACAGACTCAGAAGCCAGAGCTCAAATCTATTAATAACATTTAACAAAGAGCTCATAATGTGGCTATGAACTCAACATTTTTCAGAATAATTTAACTTTGAGTTACAATTATCATTTGCCATGAATATATCATCTCATTTGTTCTACAATGCAACATTACTAGATCCTAATCCAAATTATCGTTAGCTGCAGCAATAAATGGTTTGCAACCCTCATTCACTTGAGAAACTTGAAAAACATACATCTCTTTTCTTTCAGTGCTGCTACAGAGCTGTACAAGGCTGAAGAAGCAATGCTCAACATTAGAATTTTATTCCACAGCAAAAAAAAAAGAGACCAATTTCTTTAAAACAGTATACTTTGGACAAGTAAAGGATTTTAAGAAGATAGTGATCACCTAAGTAGTGAAGTTGAACCAGTACAAATCTAAATAGTTTTTCATGTAATTTGGGAAAATAATGGTGGTGATGATAACAGTAACAAATGCATACCTCTGTAAGTCACAGGAATGGTTCCACTGAGGCTCATCAACTCCCTAGATGAGCCGTCGTTAAACACTGAAAGTGAACAAGCAGTATTTTTAAAACAAACATATTTGCTACAGTAATCTCTGTTCAGGTTATACCCCAACTATTTATTAGCATAAGTTTTCAGATGTTACACATATATAAACTCAACTTGAAAGGTTCTGCTCTTGCACATTTAAGGACTAGCCAAATGATTGGCTACAGTCAGGTAACTTCTTATGAATAAAATATTTCTGAGAAATTAATGACTAATTATTGTCAAACTACCTTCACTGCAAAAAAACCCAAACGTTTCCTCATTCAGAGACCAAATAAAACACATTGGAACCATACAAACTGCAAATCATGCAAATTGCTGCAAAGATAATCTAAACTCAAACTTAATTTAAAAAACAACTGTCATTTTAGGATTACAAAGAATTCCTTATGCTTTCTCCAAACAAAGTCAGAGGTCAGCAAGAATACTCAAAATTACTGGGCCATAGCCATTTATTACTAAACAGTAAAGGTAATTTAACCAAACAATACTACACTGAAGAGGAAGAAAATGCGTAGCACTTGACTGATTGCCACATCTTAGTCGTGGTTCACAAACTGCACAGGAACCCTGACCTCAGTTTACTGAGTTGCTGTATTTAGTTTTCTCATCCTTTCAATCCAACACTTTATTTTTGGCTGAATAAATCAACCTCTGGTAATAAAGCTTTTATTTTTCTAATTTCACCTGCAAGTTTCTAGTCATACTTCAAATGTAGCTTATTGTGTACAATGCTTTTGGTGCTAATGTTCTGCAAAGGCAGGTAGAACATGCTGGGACTTAAATAGGGATATATATTTCATTATTAATATAAGCTTGAAAATTATCCCAACAACAATGTAACCATTTTCTTCTTACTCACTTCACTGCTCCAAATAGTGTCAATTATCTGTAAGTGGTTTTGTGCTCAGCCTTTCTGAGGCAGCTTAGAAAGGGTTAGCTAACACAAATGGGCTTCTTGCTACAGCTCAAAGTTATCTGGAATTCTGATCACTGTCATCATGCAACTTGCTATTCCAGCCACAGACCTTTCACTGTTGTTTTTGATTCTCCAGGCACTGGATGAATTTTTATTTCTGTGACAGCTGCTGGCTTGCAGCTATTCAAATTAAAATTAATCTGTCTTTTACCTGTCCATGTCCCTTCTTAATACCTCTCAGTAAAGATTTAGAATTTAGAAAGCAGAAGACTATAAAGTCTCTGATGATGTACTAGTAATATAAATTAGCTCACAGAGGAATCCCACAGGTGACAGTGAAAAAAAGGTGATCAGAAAGAGGATGACCTCAGCAACTATGGTGGCTCACTCTATCTTGTGAAACCATGCCTTCAGCCTCTGGAGCTGACCCTAGATATCATCTTGATTTAACACTTGAATTTAGTCAGAGCCTTTAAAATAGCTAAGAAACAGTGACTGCCATCGTTAATTTACGTTACAAAAGCCCTCATACCAATTTTCTATATGCTTGACTATGTTTTCTTTGCACTTTTAAGGCCTGCCACAATTACTTTTAATGACGTATTTGTTCATTGATTTAGAGTTCTTTCTAAATAGAACTCTAAAAATATCTTTATATGACAGCAAAGCTGAATTTGTAAGATACCAGTAATCTCAGGACAGCAACTGATTTGATGCCACTGAGCGATTAACTAAAAGTTAAGCTGTGAAAAATGCAATGTTTCTTGGCAGGTTAGATAGACTCAGTAACACAGAAAGGTTATTTTAGAAAGTAACTGTGTGTTTCTAAGGAAGTATTGATGTCAAAGATGAAGAAGAGAAACTCAAATTATGTTTTCTAGTTTTTATCTCCTTTTCCCCACAAAAACTACCAAATGTATCTAAACCATCAACAATTCAATAACAAAAATTTTCTCATGCACAGACTAACCATATGAATCCATGACAGGTTTGAGGTCCTTGTACTGAGTAATAACACTGGTCGTCTCCTGTACAGTTAGGTCTCGATACTTATACTGGAAAACAAAAGTGAAAGAATTACTTTAGAGACTAAATTTTCAGTGTGATTTAATTTCATTTTATTTTACCCAAGAGACTTCATTTATGAGAGTTTACATTGATATATGGACGTTCTTCTCCACTCTTATTTTGGAATAAGAATTATTTATCCCTATTACTTAACTGAACACTACTTATATAACCTACCAAACTTAAACAAGGTGTTAAGATGCTTTTAGTCTTAAATAGGGGTCCATACATAAAGTGATTTGGGAAAGCTATTGCATTCTCATTCATGTTCTACCATAACCAACAGTATCTAAGAGATATATGTGGATCTTAAAAATACATCCCTGAACAAATATAGTGACATTTTGAACATTCCTGATACAGTTATCTAAGATCTGAACCTCACAGATATCTTTCACAGCACTTTTCAAAGCATCACAGTATGATTGATTAGTATTTTCATGTTATTTTATCAACTAGGAAGCAGATGTTTCAAAGCACGATATTATCAGTAATAATACTGGTTTCACCCCCTTTTTATCATGAGCAGGAAGTAACTTGCAGCACAGACAGTCAGTGTAACACAGATACACTACTACAGAATTTAACAGTCTCAGAACTATAATACACAGACAACAAAGGAGATACTCCTGGGTAATGGAGAGCTGGTTTACCACGTGGCACTGCTCTTTAACCTTGTAGCCATTCCTCCTGATAACTACCGTTAAAAAGAAAGCTAACAATGTCCCTTAACAATGTTTTCAGTGTAATAGAATTAAAAAAATATTACCATCTTCAGATATCTTAAGGAACATAAACGACAGCATCCTTTCATTCAACCATGGTGGGAAGACAAAGGGCCCAACACAATGAAATGTCCGATACCCAAAGCACATAGATGTTAACAACATCTGAACAAATTAATTCAGACATTATCCAAGAGCAAAGCCTGGTGCCACAGCTAAAGGTCACCTTTGCTCCAACAAATGCTCATGAGTTGTGAAGCTTAGAAACTAATTCTTCTTCCTATTACCTACAGCAATTGACAAGGATGCTACTCCTGGGCATGAGAACTCTTATTTAATGAACAGAGATGACCACACCATGCCACTTTGCATCATGCCACATCAGTCTACAAAAAGCACCTGTGCTTTGGGGGATGCTGTGACCTACCTTCCTGAAACGACCAAGGGCAAAATAGCCACATGGTCAGTCTGCAAAACACTGGACTGGGACAAATGGTGAAGGGATCAGGTGCACAAGTAGTGTTCTCCTCTGTCATTCCCATTACTGGGAATGATGAGGGAAGGAACAGGAAGAGCCAGGAAATAAATACCTGGCTCCAAGCACGGTGTGAGAAGCAGAATTTGGGTTTTTTTGACCATGGGCTGGCCTACACACCACCAGGCCTGCTGGCAAATGATGGGGTACACCTGTCTCCAAAGGGCAAAAGGATGCTTGCCAAGAAGGTAGCAGGGCCCACTGAGAGTTCTAAACTAGATTTGAAGGGGGAGGGGGATGAAACCAGGCTTGCTAGAAATAAGCCTGGGGATGGCATGCCAATGTGTGAGGGACAGTGTGCCAGCAAGGTCCTTTGGTCTGTCACCTCAGAGGAAGTGGCGGATAGTAATCCAAGTGGCAGCAAAGATGCAAAGGTAATTGATGGGTTAGTAAAAACTGCGATTAGTCACTTAGGAATTAAGACTTCTCCCCTCAGAAAAGTGGTGGGATCAGTCCAACTTAAGTGCATCTATACCAATGCTCGCAGCATGGGCAACAAACAGGAGGAATTAGAAGCCATCATGCAGCAGGAAAACTATGATATAGTTGCCATCACGTGGTGGGACAACTCACCTAACTGGAGTGCTGCCATGGATGGCTATAAACTCTTCAGGTGGGATAGGCAAAGGAAGAAGAGGTGGTGAGGTAGTCCTGTATGTTAGAGAGTGTTTTGATTACCTTGAGCTCAGTGATAGGTTGAGTGTTTACAGGTAAAAATCAGGGGAAAGGCCACCAAGGCAGGTATCACGGTGGGAGTCTGTCATAGACCACCGAACCAGGAAGAACAGACAGATGAAATATTCTACACGCAACTAGAAGTCTCACGATCGCTAGACCTTGTTCTTGTGGGGGACTTCAACTTAGCAGATGTCTGCTGGAAGTACAATACAGCAGAAAGGAAATAGTCTAAGGAGGTTCCTGGAGTGTGCGTCAGACAACTTCCTGACACAACTGGTGAGTGAACTAACTAGGGAAGATGCCCAACTGGACCTGTTGTTTGTGAACAGAGAAGGCCTTGTGGGTGATGTGATGGTTGGAGGATGCCTGGGGTGTAGCAATCATGAAGTGATAGAATTCTCAATTCTTGGACAAGTAAGGAGGGGGGTCAGCAGAGCTGGCACCTTGGACTGTACAAAGAGCAGACTTTGTACTGTTCAGAAGGCTGCCTGACAAAGTCCCTTGGGAAGCAGTCCTAAAGGGCAAAGGAGCCCAAGAAGGCTTGGACACTCTTCAAGAAAGAAATCCCGAAGGGATGGCCTGCTCTTGTGCCTATGTGCCAAAAAATGAGCCGGCAGGGAAGACTGGCCTGGCTGAACAGAGAGCTTTGACTGGATCTCAGAAAAAAGAGGAAAGTCTTTGAGCTTTGGAAAAAGGGGCAGGCATCTCAGGAGGACTACAAGGATTTTTGAGAGGTCATGCAGAAAGAAAATTAGAAGGGCTAAAGCCCAACTAGAGCTTAAATTGGCCAATTCTGTGAAAGATAATAAAAATGTTTATATAAATATATTAACAACAAAAGGAGAACCAGAGAGAATCTCCATCCTTTACAGGATGCAGGGGGAACCATAGTGACAAAAGATGAGGATAAGGCTGAGGGACTTAATGCCTTCTTTGCCTCTGTCTTTAATGGTAAGGTCAGCTGTTCTCCGGCTACCCAGCCCCCTGAGCCAGAAGACAGGGGCGGGGAGCAGAACAAAGCTCCCGTTATCCAGGAGGAAATGGTTAGTGACGTGCTTGGCCAATTAGACATACACAAGTCCATGGGGCCAGACGGGGCCCAGCCAAGGGTACTGAAGGAGCTGGTGGAGATGCTCACCAAGCCCCCTTCCATCATCTATCAGCAGTCCTGGATCGACTGGGAAAGTTCCACTTGACTGAAGGTTGGCAAATGTGACACCCATTTACAAGAAGGGCCGGAGGGAGGATCTGGGGAACTACAGACCAGGGAAGGTCATGGAGCAGATCATCTTGAGTGCCATCACACAGCACATCCAGGACAAACAGAAGATCAGGCCCAGTCAACATAAGTTTATGAAAGGCAGGTCCTGCTTGACCAACCTGATCTTCTATGACAAGGTGACCTGCTCAGTGGACGAGGGAAAGGCTGTGGGTGCAGTGTACCTGGACTTTAGCGAAGCCTTTGACACCATCTCCCACAGCATTCTGCTTGAGCAACTGGCTTCCCATGGCCTAGACAGGCATACTCTTTGCTGGGTAAAAAACTGGCTGGATGGCCAGGTCCGAAGGGTGGTGGTGAATGGAGTATTTAAAAGACAGGTAGGTGAGGTGCTTAGAGACATGGTTTAGTAGTGGACAGGTATGGTTGGGCTCAATGATCTTAAAGGTCTTTTCCAACCAAATGATTCTATGAAAGAAAAGCAACCTGTCCAGTAGGGATACCTGTGTGCAGGGAGGCACCAGCATAAAGGTCAGTCAGGCAGAGGGTCAGGGCAGCCTCTGGATGCTGTTTTAACGGGAGGGCTGCAGCAAAGCATCTCAGCCTCCTCTGGAAAGTGGGTGCAGGACTGGGAGCATGCAGGAGGGGCTTGACAGAGGAGAGACAAACTTTGCCAGCATTTGAGTACGTTCCTCCCTCCTTCCCTCATACCTAGCAGAAGCATGAAATAGATTGCAGGCATTGCTAGAAAACGGAGACAGAGGTCTGTGAAATTTCGGCTAGGCCAGCCAGAGACTGGTAGTACGTACCCACATCACTGAATGTGTTACTACAGCATGAATGACAGCATGTCACCAGCTACTTTAAAAAGTTAAAAGGGGGTCTTTTTATAGGAACATACCTTATGGTACTGTATATAGACTCAAGAAGATCGGTATAATCACTATTGAAAAAAGAACTGGCTGCCGCTAACAGAAGTTCCTAAAAAGCACACAGATTCAGAGTCAAGATTTAACTCCACTTTTGGCACAAGCGTCTCAGGTCAGCTTGGTCAAGGAATAGATAAAACAACGCCTGCCTGCTCAGCAGACATACCGGGAGTCTGGTACACAGTGGTTGCTAAAACCTGGATTTCATTATCTGGGTTGCTTTTAAAAATTAGGTCCAACACCTGAAAATTAAAAAGTATTTTCATAAGTCTCTTTAAGAAAAAGAACATTGCTGCAAATAGTTTTTACACCAAGTGATGCACAGTTACTTATTTGGTACAGATAAGCTTGTGAGATTCCAGCTACTGCCACAAGCAAAATTAAGTGCTATATCAGCTATTAACTTCAGTACTAAGATCCAGACAGCTAAGACAACCAAAGTTCTGTATATTAAAATCACATATGAAGAAGTTTTTCCTAATGAGAATAATGGCTTTTCTAAAATTTTTTATTATTTAAATCCCAAAGTATACTCTTCTGCACTTATTTTTCTTTTCCATTCTAAGGAGTACTGGAATACTACCAGACAATCTTTTCCTGTGTTCATACAGTACATAGTTGAGCATTTCCAAGAAATGTCAAAATCTCTTTGGAAAATACAAGATCCTAGTGATTTCTGCAAAGGTAACCAAAACTGATTAATCTGAATTCTTATATTTCTAAACTTTTTTTTCCCCCCTTTCTCCATTCTTGGGTGGCAAGTGCACCCTCATCAATTTATGTATCAGGAAATAAATCACAGAGAGATGAAACTTTTCAAGATCAGACAGCAGGTAAATATCTGAAGCTAGACTAAGTGTTTACATTCACCCAAACTCAGGCTTGTCTTTTGTTATCTCACACACTGCACTATTCAATATGGGAAGTATCACTAAGCCTCCTTCTACAGAACAGAAAGTGTAACTACTTTTGAAAAATAAAGCAGTGAAACAGTAACCTCATTTTTCATCAGCTATTAAGTACATTGCACTTGGAACTTAACTACAGAAACTCAGATGGCATTGGGGTATAAAATGGGCGAGCGTGGGGGGACAAAGTATGTGGGACTATCTTAAACTCTGTTTCTTCTGTGGCATGGCAGTAATTCATTAATGGAAGACAGGTGTATACATGATCTCATTTGTCAACATCGAATTAATATTCAGCACCCATATTCAAGCTGATAAAAAAAGTCTGCTTATGATTCCATGCAAGTGAAAAACCTTTTACTAAGGTTTCTTCAGTTTTGATCAGATCCTCGCCTATCGTATTTAATTTTAAAATTGTGCAAATATGATAATTAAGTGTTGTTAAAAAAATCCCCCCGAAACAAAACCATAACTCCCCCTAAGCATTCAGCCTTAGGGGTTTTCATTTCGAGCTGCTGGACAAAGCCCAGTTTTCACCTGAGAAGTGGCAGAACTACGCATGGCTCCGTGTGATTCAGCGGTTAATGATTTAGCTTCCAAGAGATTTTCTTGTTTCCTTAAACAAGGGTGATAACAAGCACCCACCCTTATCCCAGTCAATGAAGTTGAACTTGCCTTCCACCTTCATTTAACGGGTGAATGCAAATGACGCTATACGATCCAACAACCAACACCGCAGTGCTGATCCGCTCGGACGCATGCCAGCCTCAGCTGCTTTCTGGTCAGCTCTTACTGGCAATATCCTAACCCAAACCTAAAGTTTCGTAGGACTACAAATAACGAAATATTTTAGGTTTCGGTGCACCGTACTCCCCTTTACAAACTCCATTTTCGGTCCCCAGGTGGCCGGACACAACCCTGCCACCACCACTTCGCCCAGCCGCTGACACGACTTCGCCCGCAGCTCCCCGCGGGCTGCAGCCCGGGAGAAAGCCGCAGG